GGGCTCATGTGATTCTCACATAGTGCTAATATATGATTAAATACACTTTTATCTCCTGTTCTCAAATGTGAAATTCTCTAGTTTCTATCAAAATTGATTCGAAAAATATTCATTCTTCTTCTAAGTCGAAACGAAAAATAATCTGGCTTTCCAAAAGCTAATTTTTAGGAGAAAGACGATTGAAATCAATACATCTTGTGTAGAAAAAATTTTGATTTTTGTATAGATATTGATATAAGATTGAGTTTTTTTCAAGACTTATTTGACATGATAAAATTTACAGGTAGTCAAAGCATTAGAGCTGATGTATATTTTTTATATGCAAAATGTGCAAGACGGAAAACATTTTGACGTATCGAATATTTCAACATATAAACAAAAATGTTTCATCAATATGATCTATAGCAAACAATATGTTAGTGATGAATACCATTTGAACGAATTTCGATTGTCAGATAATTAAAATCAAAATATTCAATGACAAGCAAAGAATAGAAAAGCAAAAACAATGAGAAAATATATATTAATGATATATTTAAGAACGAATTAGAGTCCCACTGAAGTAGAATAAATATAAGATAAAAACAAATTTCCAACGTACAAAAATTTCTTCGAAAATAAAAGTAATACTTCGAAGACAATCTTTATATGATTGTATTTGTATTTTTCTTTTTATTGAAGAGGAGAGTATTACTATAAAATTTAAAACGCTATTCAGAAACTCGAGTGATCTGAACCGGCTTTTCGCTCAATGAAATTAAAAATTATCATCTCGATAAAGATCGATTAGTTTTTGGTACTCAATTATAACTTATTATTCTCAAAGATAACTTTGAGGTGAGAAACGCATCAATGACGATGAATGATAATAGAATTGAAATTGTGCAATTGATAGATAGTTCAATTGATCAATTAATAAAACTACATAATCGATTTAGGTCCAATCGATAGTGGATTTCACTTTCAAATTTTTCAAAATTGTTTCGTACGTGTAAATTTTGTATCGCTTCGAAGGCGATATCATGTGATAAACCAGCTAATATAGAGAGATCTTGATGCGAAAGTGAACGTAAATGAGGCATATGTTCAATGAGATCAAGAAATGAAGTCGATATAAGATTGGTGTCGGTTTGTTCTATATTGAATACGAGTGATGTGACATTGATAAAACGTTAAATAATTGAATTAAATAATGACAAATCAACTCGATGGATATATTTATCTTATCAAAACAGAAATTGGATGATGTGCATATTGGTGGCCAATAAATATTCGGATATACGAGAACATTTGATGTAAAACGAGATACCGTAAAGATATTTTGCGAATATGGACCATCATAGGCAAAAAATCAGCGTTTTTGTTCAAGTTAAAATAGTGAACAAAATGAATCAAGAATATTTTCTTCGGGAGAATGTGATAGTGAACCTAGAAGATGCAATCAAAAGTTGAATATAATCAAATGTGAAACAAGTAATTTCCATTTTTGGCCATCAATAAGATCCAGATAACCTTGTGCAATAAGTTCGAAATAATATAGATTAGATATTTTAGATAAAAATTGTTCTACATGGATCATGGTCTGTTTTTTACCTTAATTTTAAAAAACAAAGAATATATATATGTATACAATTTTCAAATAACTATACACACCATGAATGTTTAGGATGAGCCATCTTAGATGGGACAATAATAATATGGTATCCGTTCACTTTGGAGAATTATCATATGAAAGTTTGACATCAAGTGAATAAAGATTAGGAATTTGATTTAATATAAATGATAAGCCCTAGCAAAAGAAACTTTGAAGAGTTAAATGACGTAGATGAGGCAGTGAAACCAAAACGAGATTATGAGCATGGGGTAGTGCTAGTCGATTCAGTCAAGGAATTAATTTATATATAGCAGTGTATATCTGTGTTTATTATCACTAATCGTAGTCATATAGAATGATTGAAGATGAATAAATTGTTCGAGTTTAAAATGAGAAAAGAATAGGTTTGATTGATTTGATGTATCATTGTCATGGGACAATATAATAGAAATGACTTGATGTGGTCGTATATGTTGGCAAAGAAGATCAAATTTCGATTTAAGAACAGAATGAAAGTTGAGTAAATAGTATTAAAAAATATCATGTGAGATAACTGATTTCTTATTGCTCGTTCATGATGTAATAATATAACACACTGCTGTTTTTCTTGTTTCATTCTTTAGTCGATACTACTTGCAAACGTTCTTCTTTCAGATATGAAACACATGTCGAGATGCAAATGATTCATCGTGTATTTGATTCTGAAAAGAATATAGAATGAGTATAAATCGATGATGAGCGAATGAGATTGACAAATCAAAGGTTTTGAATAAAATGAGCAAACATATCTTTCAGTCGTCACATATCTCTTCTGCATCTTTAGTCTTTACGTACTTTAATCATTGCCATTTTTTTTCTTTATTTACAACATTGAGTACGAGTCACTGCTTTTCATTTTTAAGCCACTTGTTTTTCTTTTTAATTCAACTTTATAACACTAGAGAAGTTTTTTTCGATGAAATTGAAATATAGAAAAATTCAGATTATAGAATCAACTTTTTTTTCTCAAGGGAAAATAGATAAGCACAGAAGAAAAACCTACTTCGAACGTTATCTTGTTTGAGTTACCTTGCGATTGAAAGATGAATAGGAAAATGATTAACGTTATTTTTTTTATATACAAGGTATCTCGTAAGTCATCGGGCAAGAAAAGATTTGAATATCTCTTCGTATTTCGGCGAACTAGACTAATTATTTCAATAAAGATGAACCATGGTTCATAGCTCATATTCATAGTAAAAACGTTAGCAAATAGATTTTTGAAGTATCATTTCTATCTTCTGACTTTCATAAGCTATAAAATTACAATATGTTTATTCCCATGGACAAAAATGAAAAACATAGCTATTTTTTCGATGACTTCTTCATACTATTGTGAGGTGCATATGATGTGGAGAAATATCTTCATAAGATTATTATCTCATTCCTATGTTGTTTTTGAGTGTTATCTATTCGTATGCAAAGATCTTCTGAATACTAACTATGATATTATACATACGTTGCTTCATTAATGTTTTTCTATTTATACAAATGATGATTCACCTACTCTCCTGTATTATCCAATCCAAAATAAAAGGCAGTTTGCCATTTTTCAAATAACTTTTAATACGAACAAGATAGAGAGCTGCAATTTTCCCCATTTGACAGAGCAATACTTGGGCCCATCGATCTGTATAAAATTCATTAGGACAAAAGATGTTTGTTCACAGAGAATTATCGATTAAGTTTTTTTCTAGGTATAATTTTCCTCAAGTTTCACAATAATCTGAACTCAAATGATGCCAGAATGTATCTTAAGGACACTTTTTTCACTATAAAGTATGTAAATGCTCTTGAGAATCCACTTCGTAAAAGAGATCGCGGATTAATCGAAAATGTGATGATTTTATAGTGAAAAAAGTGTGATAGGCAATCTTGTTCGAAAAGCATCTTTCGTCCTCATAAGTTTTATACAGATCGATGGTCCATATGCAGTGATCGTTTAGAAAATAAAAAAGAAGTTAATTTTCGATCAGATAGATGGATTCATTCGTTAAGAGGAAACCAATTTAATTGAATCATAACACAACTTAACGATTAGTTGGGAAAGAAGATAGGATATGGAGCTGGCAAGTCACGAATGACTTGCCGTTTGTTTCTAAGATTGATATGAGCCTTTCTTTCGCGAAGCTTTCTAGAGATTGGACAGTAGTTTTCAGAAGAGCTCGACCAAGTAGATAGAATCTGGGATCGGTGAGTTACAACTGGCGCCCTCGAGAGACGTTGATGAGCGACTCGCCATTTATTTATGAGGTAGACACGTCTTTTCTTGCATAATGCTTTGAATGAAATATAGAGTATTTTTCGAAAGAGCTAAGGCAATTGTTGTGGTGAAGACGACTAATTCAAAATTGTACCAATTTCTCATAAAAAGCCAAAGAAATGTAATCTATGATGAGAATATCGCCGCATGAATACTACATATTCCAAACTCGACATTATCAGTGTTGCTTTTTCCAAATTGCAAAAGTTGAAAGACTTGTTCGTATGGTGTTGGCTATAGCATCATACAAACTGACGATTTGTCTGATAATATTTGTCAAAGTGAATAGAATGAATTCAGTCTAGGGTGAAGCGAGCCGTAGCGACAGGTCATATTATGATATAAGGTTAAGCAAAAGTAAGTATAAATTCTTTTAATTAATTTTACGACATAAATCCACGAAAAAAGTAAGTCTAATATGAAAAAATTCTGTACAAAAGTCCATTTTGAGCTCACTCAAGTATTTGCTTCTAGTTAATAGGCTTAAGTCAAAAACTAATTCTGAACATACATTTAAAAAGAGCATCAAATTCTAATTCTATCTGACTACCTTTCATTCTCTACAACAATATTTAAATGGTAGAAAATTGAACAAACACTTTGTGTAGCGGTAGGACGTCAATGATTGGAATGGAATTATATGAAAAAAATTATGTTGGTTTCACTTATTCATCAATAAATAATGAATAACGATCATTGCCTATATAAATATTTATGTCAAATATTTATACTTATACTTCTGATGTTTCAAAAATAATAACAACAATTTTTAAGGAGTATCATAATACTCGGACAAGTTTCAAAATAATATTCAAATGCTTGTAATCATACTCAATTAAAAAATAATCTTTGTTCTATTCGAGATTTTCTTTAATAGTTCAAAAATATGTAACAGTTTGTACTAAAATCTATTTTATTATAGTCATGTGCTTCCTCAAACTTAAAGCAGTTCGTACTATACGATAAATTTTACTTTATATCTTTTCAGTGAAATAAGATAATTGAATTTATTCTTTTTAACATATAGCCAAAATAAGTTATTTGTTTCGAAAAAATAAAAATTATTATTGATCATATAGAAATAGCATAAAAAAGAAAGCGTTACTATATCATAATCCATTTATATCGACGTCGGCCAAATTGTCTTCTTTTGATAGTTTTAGAATTGTCAATTAGTAATGGAGCTGCATGTATATTTACGCTACTTTTGTCGACTTCACTGTCACTGAGGTCATATGTTGGTGCAGTGTCATCCTTGATATTAAATAGCAATGAAATAATTTTTTGAATACGTTGTTTTAATGTTTTGTCAAAATTAATATCACCAGTACTTAGCCCAATTGAAAGTGTTGATGTAAGAAAATGAAATTTTTCATGATCTTTAATGGCAATTGCTGCCTTCTGAATTTGTTCTTCAGTTGGATTAATGGCAAAGAGACGATCAAAATTTGTATCACCTATATCTTTACGTAAATCATTGAAAAATCGTTCGGTAGCCTCTATTGCGAATTTAGCTGCTTGATCACTAGAATAATTCTTTTGAGAAAAAAGAAATCAAATAAAATACTTACTGAAGATAATAATGAGGAGAAAACATAGGTGTCTTTGCATCTTTATTGATACCACCCATAGGTACTTGATGAGATGTTTTATCCATTACAGAACCATGTGAACATTTTTCTACATTGCTTGGTTTTACTACTGGTTCGCCTTTATCATTAAATTGATTTGACACGTAACCACTAGTCAATATGCCTTGTTTATTAATTTCATCTACGATATTTTCTTTACAATCATAATATTCCATTGGACAATTTTTAAAAAAATATGCTTGAAAGATATTCTAAACAATGAAAATGTCTCATTCTTGTTTTTTTGTTTTAAATAATATTAATCTTACACAATTTGATAGAACTTTTTTACACCCTCTAGTATGACATGTTGCCTGATTGATTTCAGCTATTCGACCAATATTTTCTTGAATACCAATATAAGGATTTATTTCTGTTTTACCCATTTCAATCCAATTTGAATGAGAATAAAAATCTTGAAGTGTATGAAGTAAATCTCCAATTTTTCCACGTGCTGAATCTAAATTTTTATTTGAATCTCTTACATCTTCAATGACTAAAAAAAGAAAAAAAAAACATAATTAATTATATTTAATTAATAATTGTTACTTTTCATTCGTAATCTCATTATTCGATGATTACTTTCATTAAATGATTCACTATCAAAATGTGCTGATGGTAAATTTTGTGTTAATGGATTTAAATCAACTAGAACATTTCTCACTTGAATTGTATCAATAATACTTTTCAATGGATAAGAATATAATTTTATTTTATCTTTCGTCCAATCAGGATGAGCTAATTGATAAAGTTCATCGATCGTATGTTCATTTTTAAAATTTTGAATATCAATTTTATTTCGATCTTGAGTTTTAACATCAATAAAAAATCGAGCAAGACTTCGAATAAAACCAAGTTGAACTATTTCAGTATGAGTTATACCTACGATTGAAATAAAAATAAATAATAGTTTACTAATTGTAAAATAATAAAATTTACTATCTTGAGCTTGACCACCAAATCGAATCACTGGATGAGGAATAAATGCTATTATCGCAGAAAAAAGTACAAATATGCATAGGCAAGAGAATATATTCATATTTCGTATAGGTAAATCTTTAAATGAATGTATTTTGTAATGTTATCAGAAAGAATAACAGAAACAATTTTTCTTTTGCTCTTTAATACTGTTCTGTGCCTTATATATAGGGTAATAAACGTATCACATAGCCAGGTAGAGTTTAAAGAATGTGACTCATGATCAATTATACATTCGAGTATTTACAATGGTGTACCGTTTGATATGAATCAAACGACTAATCGTATACTTTCCCTTGAAAAAATACTTGTGTGCATCGGAACTGTTATTCGTTTCAAAATAAAAGAAGAGTGAGTATTTTTGGAAGAATATTTGAGAGGAACTAGATAGAGATCTGCGATTTTCACTGTTTAAAAGAGGCGATGAAACTGCATCGAATCAGTGATACCAGATTTTTTTCTGGTAAGTTTTCTCAGGATTATCTGTCAAATTTCTTACAAGCAAAGGATTGTTTAATGTAAAAGTTTGGAATTTAAGCTTTCAGTAGTGCGTCGGGATTATTAACTAAAGCTCAATAATCTATGGAAGTCTAATGTTAAAAGGTTTAGCCGATCACGATCTATTAACATTTTACTAAATGTTTTCAGCAGATTTTTCACGGAAAATTGCCTTTTTTTCTGATTTCTTGATGAAAAATCTGTCTTCTAATTCTATTAAAAAACTTTGACAAGTGATCCTGCGAAAACTTGCCAGAAAAAAAATCTGGTATCGCTAATTCGATACAGTTTCATCGCCTCTTTTAAACAGTAAAAACTGCAGACCTCTATCTAGTTCCAACCAAAAATTATCCCGAAAATATTCATCCTTCTTGTATTTTGAAACGGATAATAGTTGTTATTTTTGAGAGTGTTAATAATATCTTTTAACATGTCATGTGCATTAATCCATGCAGAACTTCATTTTTTTTTCTTGAATTTAATATTTGAAAAAAAATTACATTTGTGAATATTATCTAACAATGTTTTGATGAATCAGATAGCACTATCGAGATCAAATACTACCATTGTGCAGAATGCACTATTTGCTGCGAGACCTATTGAATTTTCAATTATTAATTCAATTCAGATGGCTTCGAGCAATTCTATTATGTTTGATCAAGGTTATTGCTGGATAGATCTATTGATTATATTTAAATTATGCGTATTCATCAGAAACCTATCATATCCTATATTATTACACCTGAAATGCAGCAAAATGTTGTGTGTTACTACTTCTACTTTAATGGTGGTACACTTCTGTAGAAACTCACGATTTGTTCATAGTTTAAAAAAATAGAGAACTAAAATTTTTCTTGTTTTTTTGGTATATAAAGAATGGGCCAGAAGTGCTGACTTGATTTGTATAAGAAATTTTTCTAAAGTGAAACATGTGATGGTAAATTTGTCTCTATGATGAAAAGATGTAGCAAAAGACGTTCTACAAAATAACTATTGATTGAGCTCGCTAGCTCATCTAATAAGAAAGTTATAAGCTTAGAAATATTCTTCACAAAACATAAAAATTAACCATGACCCTTCTAGAACAAAAAAACTTCGTAGACTAAATTTAATTACAGTTTTAGCACTCAGTTCACTTGCGAAATTACTTTAAACACATTATATAATTAATTATAGATGTCAAGCATGCTGACTCTACAGGAACACTGTTATAGACTCATTCTTCCTTTGAAGAAAATCAATCTCACCTCGATAACAAACAACATTACCGGTGAATTACAATCTTTTGAAAATCCTCTTCCATTATGTCATGATGCATTAAGAAGAAAAATTCAAAAAAAAACGGTCAAACTCAACGAAAAGTGATTTCTCATTTACAATGTAAAAAAATTAAAGGTAAAAGAACACTAATTCAAAAACTAATTAAATAATTAAAATTGAAATCATTCAAACTCAGAAAAGCTCAAAAATTAACAGCACTAAACAGACAACAACAACGTGTTACTTGTGCGAAAAGGTTAATACGAAAATTTGGTGCAAGAAAAACTGTTCCCAAATGACAATAGGCTAAAATTATTAATACTGATTTTTCGAAAATATTTACAATAGAAGATATTCAAAATAGTAAAGATAATGTACTTTATGCTGAAGATCCATCTGAAATTCCTGTTACTTTAAGAGAAATACCAAAGATAAAATATCCAAGTAATGTTATATTTTGGGGTAGAATTTCTATGAAAGGTTTAATATTAAGCGATGGTTCTATTAATTTTACTGAATGATTACAAAATCAACATCGAAATGATAAATGTAAAAGGATGTATATAACTGATGAATCATAAATGTAAAGCTATAATTAAATTTAGTGCACCAATTTTTTTTTATTCTAGAGATCACGGTTAATTTTTATCTTTTGTGAAAAATATTTCTAAGCTTATAACTTTCTTATTAGATGAGTTAGCGAGCTCAATCAATAGTTATTTTGTAGAGCGTCTTTTGCTGCACCTTTTCATCATAGAGATAAATTTGCAACCCCATGTTTCACTTTAGAAAAATTTCTTATACAAATCGAATCAGCACTTCTGGCCCGCCCTTTACCGGTTCTAACTTTATTTCGGTTGTTGAATTTTAGCTTAGTAACAACTCTATGCTTAAAAAAAAATCATGAACAATTAGGGTTTTGCGTTCGAATCTCAAGAAAAGCGATTATCTTCTATGTCTATGATTAATATCGGTTAACAATTAAAAAATAGATTAGAATCGATTATCAAGTAAAAATAGATTCAAAGGTACCTATGTGAAAAAGACGGGAAAAATCGGACGTTAATCGATTTTCTCTGCCATTTTATTTTTACATAGAATGTTACTGATACAGATGACTGAGACTAAATTTTTTTTTTTGATTTCTTGTATCTCTACTCTGAAGACGGCGAAGATTTGGGAGCATAAAATTTTTTCGAGAAGCGAAAATTTTTTTCAGACTGATGAAAAACTCTTCTTTTCCTTGCATTTTTTCGAAAGAAAAAAGTGTTGTGGCAGCTCTTAGCAATTTCGGTTCCGAAGGTCGCCACGCTAGTGATGATTGCTCGAAAATGAAGTTCTTCAGAAGAATCATAGTAGTAAAATTGCCATAAAAACAGAAAAATTACAGATATTTTTAGGTCGAATACGCTCATGTGGTACTTTTCCTGGAGTCAAAAATTTTAATATCTCTTCAGAATTTTCTAGCAAAAAACCATTTTCTTATACTTGCTACATAACTTCACGTTTTTCATCGACATTCCAACGAAGGCTTCTGATTGTTCGGGAAGAATCGTCCTCGATTACCCATTCTGATCGGGATAATTCTGAGAAATATTTCAAAGAAGTACTTTAAAAATCCTTAAAAAACTTTATCGATTTTGCTGGCTACAAATGAATAATTTTCAATTATTGGAAGGTTGTACACCTTCCCCCCTACACTCTCCTACTTTGGCGGGTGCTGATTACTAGCTGTATATAATACTGTATTCTCACCGTAAAGATATCGTAATGGTATCGTGTTCTATCATACATACGGCCGTATTCTTCGACTAGGGTATTTTATAAATATAAAGATTTTATTTTTATTTAATATTATAAAGTAAAGATAAATTGACATTTCTAATTCTGAACATTTGAATATAGTGTTCTTTTCTTTTGTTCATATATTTATATGACATTTTTAAATATACCTTCATGGAATTCGAAGCTCTTTTGCTTTTTGTGTTATTCATTTTTCATGATTAATATACGAAAAAAGATACACAAATTATGAGTATTTCAATCAATTTAACGAAAAAAAAAACATATATTTAAGATTTGACAATATACGAAATATCTGTTAATTATTGTATGTCCCATCTAATAGAAGAATATACAATACACTCAAAAAAGAAACACACACACACATGTCGAGAAAGTTTTTTTTACCAAACATTATGCCGAATTTGTCCTGTATTTTTTTGAGAACCACCTGGTAAAAATGGTACTTGTTGTTGTTTATTTGTAAGAGAATTTCGTCGTTTTGTATTAAGTTTTTCTTCAATTTCATATTTATCTTTATCTTGAAGCCATTTTTCATAAGCTTCTTGTGAACTAAGAAATTTAGTTTCTTCATTTTCACGAAGTTTTTTTAATTGATCTCCTCGAACATGTTTGTGTGTTTCATTGAATTTTTTTGTTTGTTCTTTTTTTTTATTCATCCATTTTTCATAAGCTTTTTCAGCTTCAAAAACTTTCTTTTGTTTTTCTATAATAATAAAATAAAATTATTAATGAAACAAAATTTATAAAATTAGATCAATAAAACCTTCTTGTCGTTGTTCAATTTCAGCTTTTTTATCATTACGTTCTTTAATTTGTTCTTTTAAATGTTCCTCTTTATGTGTTTTCCAATCTTCAAAACCATCTTTAGCATCCTAAAATATATTTTTAATAGAAATTATAAATAATTTTTTTTTTAAATTAAAATTAATTTTTACATTTATTTTTTGTTTTTGTTTTTGTTTTTCTTGTTCTTCTTGTTTACGTTTTAATTCATTTTCTATTCGTTTTTTTTCTATAATTTCTTTTTCTTTTTCTTGACGCCAACGTTCAAGTTTTTGTGCTTCTTGTCGAATTCTACGTTCAACTGTAGATTTATCAACAAGTTTAGATTTTTCTTCTTGCCAATGTTTTAATTCTTCTTTTTCAACTTTTCTTTTATCTTCTTTATTTTTTAACCATTCAAGATAAACAGCATCTTTTATTGTTTGACTTGAATCATTACGTAATTTACTTGTATCTAATTCATCAAAATTTATTGAACGATTTGTATTGACACGTGGTTGAACATGTTCATAAGCTGATGATGATCGACGTCGTTGACTTCTATTATGATTACTTGTTGCTGAAAGTTTTCTTGTACGAGCACTTTGTGGTCTTGGTAGTGTTTGTGATTTAAGTTCTTTTTGAAGTGCACGTTCAATAGATCGTGTTAAATCTATTGTAGAAGTTGATGCACGACCAGTATCAACACGTGATGTAATTTCTTGATAACGAGATGGAATTTTAAATGTTTGTTTTTTATTAATACCTCCTATGGTTGTTGTTTTATTTAAATTTGATTTTGGCCTAGGTGGAAGTCTTGCCGATGAACGAGGAGGAGGTGATGGTGGAGGTTGAAGTACTGCAGCAAGTGCTTCATTATTTGATGTTAAAGGATCAAGTGTAGGTGGAACATTAGCAGAAGTAACCATATCAATAGCTGATTGAGTTTGTTGACGTGTTGTATTTGATTTAGCTGATGTTGGTCGTGATTGAGGTTTTTGATTTATTGTTGTTGTTGAAGGTATAACTGAATCTTGATCTTCACAGTATGATGAACGTCGAGCAGAGTCAATTTCTTTTTTACTTGCTGAACCAGGTCGACTTGATGATAATTGATGTTGAATAACATTTGAATCAGTATCCTTAAATGATTTATAAAATCAAAATTAATGAGAATTATTTGAGAAAAAAAAAATATTCAAACTTGAATCTATTTAGTAAAAATATGATACAACATTTTTTAGATTTATCTGTTTCCTATTGATGTGAAAATAGCTTGATGACATAGGAAAATTTTTAGAATAGTTTAGAAATCTTGATTATAATTGGAGATAGAGCGTTGTAATAGTGGGCTTCATTTTTTTTTTAAAACTTGTCAGACTTTATTGCAATGTATTGACTTATATTTTAGTCATTGATAATACGTATCATTTGACAATAGCAAAAATCAACATTATTATTTTTTTGTAGTAAAATGAAGAATGAAACAGCCGATTGAATGACTTTTAAAGTCTATTTGATATTACGTATTTTTCGCTGGGAAAAAACAGAAGCAAATAATATTGTTTGATAGTAGTGTCAAGAAAATGAATAATGATAAACAAAAAAAACATACGCCTTCAAATCTATCGGGAAATGAGTCAATGGTAAAGAGTATTATTATCTAAAGACTTGATAGTTTTTCAGGTCTATTATTTGTTCAAATAAATATTAAACTTATTTGTTTTAATACATTATAGCTAAACTTGATGAAGATCACCATAGTGTCATTTCTATATTGTATTAGTTTCACTCTGAAGTTTTCCGAACAAATACCATTAACTATGACAAAAAAAAACTTTGAAAATTTAAGATTTCGTTTAGCTCAAAAATCTTCATTCAATTAGAATACAAGTCCTGGTATGATCAATTTTCAAAAATCGAATGGCTAAAGTATTTCTATGTAATATATAATTACCTGTACTGAATCATGAGACGATTGTTTTTCTTTTTTAAAACTTTGTCGTTGTGATTGTTTTTTTAAAAAATCATCGTCATTATCACTTTGATCTATTATTCCTTTACTTCGACTACTAGGTTTTTGTGTTTGTGATTGTTCACTACTTGTTGATGAATGTCGAGATTTTATAAAATCTTTATGTTTTGATTGTCTATTTGTAAGATTTTCATCATCACTATCTATACGTTTCTTATTATCATGATCATTTGAAAATTTTGTACGATCTTTTTGTATAACAGATATACGATCAGTTGAAAATATATCTGTTGGTGATTGTCGTTTTTTTTCATGTGTAAAAGTTTTCATAAATGATTGATTTCTTTCTTCTTCTTCACGTAATGATAATATTTGATGTCTTGGACTTGGTTCTGTTTTTGTTTTACCAAATACATTTCGTTCATTATCATCATCATCATCATCATCATCATCATCACTAATACCAGTATGACGTGGTTTTACTTTTGGTTTTTCTGTATCTTTTTTAAGAAATGAACGTTCTTTTGGTTTAGGTGTTGATTGACTTGTTGTAAGACTTGATGAACTTCGACCTGTTTTAGTACTTGTATCATCATCAGAATCATTTAAACTATCTTTATCATTATCATCATTTACTCCATTTAAATTTAAATTTAAATTTGTTCCTTCATTATGTTTTGATTTTGTTTGTATTGTATGAAAATTTTTTGTACCAACAGTACCAGATTTTGTAAAACGTTGTGTTTGTAAAAGTGGTGATGGACGATCAAAATCATCATCATCATCATCATCAGAAATAGTAGTTTTTCTCATAGTTACTTAATCTTTAATAAAATGAAGAATTCATATGGTTGCTAACTTTTTTTTTTTTGTTCTTTTATTTGTGAACTGATACCATTAGTGATCAACATATTTAGATTATACTTAGTAACAGACTTAATGATGATAGAATTTATTTTTTTTGAAGTAAATTAAAATTTTAGAAAATTTATTTTTATCAAAGAAAAAAATTTTTTTTAAATTAAATAAATTGTTTAAAAAATAAGTTTTGAATTATTATTTCAAATTGTCCAATCAAATTCGATCTATAACATAGTTGATGAATCATTCAACTATTACTACCGGGTTGGGTTTTTTTTCTCTTGAAAAATATGCCAAAAGTTAACAAACATTCAAGATTTATTTAAACAATAACATAGACATAAAAAAATAGAAATTGAATGATTAAATTTCTATTTTATGAACATATGACAACAAAAAAAAAAGGCAAAATTTAATGGAATAAAACAAACAATTTTAAAAGCATTTGAAATTTTTCAATTATATACATATGAATGATAAATATTTTACTTTAACCAATCAAATTTATGAATTATTACGATTCAATATACAACATAAAAAATATGTTCTATTGGCATTACTCAATCAACTATTTTATTTTGAGTTGATAATAAAATTATAATGTAAGTGGAACTTTCATTTGAAATTTATTATTATTTGCACAATTGAAAATAATAAATATGTCAATGAAGTAATCAAAAATACAACAACATACATTCAATTTATGCTATTATTGACCTTCGAATCAGAATAAATTTATCTAGGTCATAATGAAAGAAAAATGAGTTGTATATTAATCAGTACACGTATAAAATAAGATTTTACCAAATAATTGTTTTTTTTTGTCCTTAGACTAATACTCCGAAGATTTAATTCAATGTCAAACTCCGTTTATTGATCAGCCCAGATAGACAAACATTGAAAGTTATAACGTAAGAGTGTAGAAAGGTAACAACAAAAAAATTTACATAGTGTTTTTTTGCCTTAATTTGCATAACAATTGTCGGTTAATAATGTAGAAATATTGAATGAGTTAGACCTTGATGTTATACTTTTTTTTGTTACAAAATATTCATCAATTTGTTGTTTCCTTCAATAGTTTTAATTAATAAGAAAAAAAACAATTTGTAGTAATTGATATCAAAGTAGAATTCTAATTTTAAATGATTTTTTTTTCTTTCTTGAAGAGATAAAATTTCCTTTGTTTATCGAATTTAAATGAACAAAGGAAACAGCTGATTCCAGAACTTGAGAGTCACTTAAAAAGAAATATTATGAATTGATAATTCATTTTCTATGTTTGAAAAGAATAATTGATCATGAAAAAGCATCTGACAATATTCTTATTTGTAACGTAAGATTTATAAAAAACGATTTTTTAATTTCTACATAAAAATCTGTGTTAATCTCGATATAGAAAATTACAGCATTGAAAATAAATTTCATACATTTTTAAAACCATTAACTTAACACCTCAAGCTATTTTCAATTGAGACAAAGACAAATAGATGACGCAACATAAAGAATGTACCTATAACAATATTAACAAAATATTTCTAATCACAAAAATTTAACATATTGCTTTTAGTAATAAATTATATTAATAATTTTCGATGTTTTTTCTGTTTTATTTAGATATGCATGCTACTATTGTCCATTTCAAAAAAGAATGAACTCGATTGTTTGTTAAATAACTCGGCAATGCTGATAGCTATCGAGCTCGGATTTTGACTGTATGGATACAAGTCTACCTGAGATTCAAAATACTTGAATAGTTTTCTAGGGGATTTTTTGGAAAATCACTGTCTAATTTACTTGATTAGATGTATCTTGAGAAAGGAACATCCTTTTTGGCTAAAACTCTCAAGATATTCTATGAGACAATTTTCAGGTCGAAATTCCGTAATTTCATTTTTCGGTAAATACCTATGAAAGGGTCGAAAACGCCTCAAAGTTTCGAAGTTTATAAAGTGAACATTGGTCTATAATATGGTTAAATTAAAATTGAAAATACAGCTAATCAGACAGTGATTTTCCAAAACATCCCTAGAAAACTATTCAAGTATTTTGATTTCCCGGGTAGACTTGTACCCATACTCATATTCTTTCTATTGGCGAAAACCCGAGCTCGATAACTATCAGCATTGCCGAGTTATTCAACAAACAACCCAGTCCATTCGTTTTTGAAAAAAATAATATTTATACTTAACAAATATAATGATTTTTGTTGTTAATAAAAAAATACATCGTTCAGTCTATGATATTGAATAGAATTTACAACAATAAATTCTAGAAATTTCTTAGCATATCTCGAATGTTTTTTCGAAAAATTAAAAACTTTTCAGTATTTTATTATTTATCTTTTCAGATCGATCGTTAATATCTTGTCTTTTATTTTATTATTCGTAAATTATTAATGAATCCTAAAGTTAAATTAGGTCTTATAATTAGTGCTGGTTTATTACTTGTACTTATACTAATTGGTTTAATAGTTTTATTAATAAAATTTATTATGAAACGTTGTCGTAAAAAAGCTTGGGATGATATAAATACATTACCAAAACAATTAGATTCATCAGATAATAATATAAATCAACGTAAATTACCTAAACGTACATCATCAGAACGTCAATTATTATATCAATCATCAACAAATAATGCTACGGATATATCTGATGGTCATATATCTATTCCAATTAATGAGAATGATACATCACATAATTATGGTCAATATGAAAGTACAAAAGAACATGAACATACAATTGTAGACATTCAACGTGATCGTTTAAATCATATTAAAGAAGAAGAAAAACGTATTAGACCTATGATACAAATAAGTGATGGTGAAGATATTATACAACGTACTATTGATCAAGTACAAAAAGAATTTGATGAATCGATATGATTTACATGATATTAATTAGATCTTATTTTTCTTTTTCTCTATATATTTCGGGATGAATTCTCATTAAGAAATAACTTCCACAATTGTTTATGTTGTTCTTTTTGCTTTTTGTGGTGTACTTTAATGTTAAAGTCTTTCATGTACATGGAAAAAAAATATGTGTCAAATTTTGTTTTTGTGTTTTGTTTTCGTTTACTATAGTTAAGTATAGCTGTTATCAAAATGAAACATCGTCAAAATAACTAAGTCAGCTAAATTCAAAAAAGAAAACTAACTAACTATTCTTCTTATATCGATTATTGATGTTGTTTTTCTTTTATTTGTCTTCTCGTTTTTTTATTACATTTAACTTCTTGCTTGTTTTCTTCCGTTTTGCTCAAATAGCATCTTTATGATCTGTCTTCTCTATTCGATGCGGTTTTTTGTTTTGTTTTAATCTCTACTTGTATGAATGAACTTGTTCGTCGAAATGAATGAAAAGAGTAACTTTCATGTATCGAATGATTATTTATCCTAAAAGAAATAAATAGAGATGATTTTCTTTTTATCGAATCTTGATTGGTATATTTTTTGTTGTTGTGATCGTTAATCTGTTATTAAGATGATAAATCATTCAACATATGAAATTGCTTCTTGTTATGAAAATCAAATTGAAAATGAAGATTTAGTAGATAGGTGAACCATAAAAAACAATCATCTCACAAGAAAAAGCTCTTATCTATCTAATAGGTTGTTTCAGGAAATCTGGCGAGTTATAGGTAATCGACTATGGTGATTCCAAATATTGATGGGAGACCCATTTTCTGGTAAACCAGTTTTTCTTAACAAAAATTTTTCGATCCGTCCAGATTATAGAGCACATCGAGTTGACTATAAAACATTATTTTTTGCTGTTTCAGCCACTCTAGGGAAGTCTAGAGATAGAAAAATTTGTAACATTTGAACAATACTGTGGTTCGTTTTAATGCTATGCCTTTACAACGAAGCGTTTAAGCGTAAAGGACTTTTGTTCATCACATATGTATAGTCACGTGTAGTATTCACTAGCAAGTGGCTCGTTGTTATAATACACTAAGTACAAATTATACCTATCATTCATTATTTGATGCAAGAAGTTTGCAATCTTGTATGGTTTCTCTTAATAACTCTATGGTATCATTCTCTTAAAACTGACGAGGAAAAGCTTCTAGTTGTCTAATCGTTTTTTTTTTTCATCAAATGTAGAGGGCTAAGGATGATGGGCAAGGCTCCTCTGACCACGCATTATGGTTCCTCAAGGAAAAAAAATAGTGTTTTATAGTTACTCGGCGTGTTCTACAATCTGGATGGATCAAAATTTTTTTTTTTGCTAGGAGAAACTGGTTTTCCAGAAAATAGATCTCTGATGTCATCGCTGCCGATCTCATATCGGAATTCAGTATCAGCACGACCAATTACCTGAAACCCACTTTGGATCCAGCCCCGGTCGACTCAAAATTTTTAGACCCGGATGTGATGAGCTCTACTCGTCAGTATGTCTGAAATATTTTGACGACCTGTTCACCTATTCTAATGAGATATGCCCACCGTTCAGAAATTGGAAATTCAAGAAAATCAAATAGGATTCAATGTTTGGAGCGCCCACATTGGAATCGTATTTGCCAGTCTTTGTAAAACCGTTAGTAGGGTTGTATGTGACAGTGTTTCCAACCACTCTCCTAGTAGAATTCCATCCAGAGATGTCCATCGCGGCTGAAAATCTACCACTGCCGCGATGGTTTTCAAAAAAGTGTTTCCAATTCCACTACTGTGACTGTATTTGATCAGAAATATTTGTACTAGTCTATCAGATTCATTCAATCTCAAGATGTCTCATTTGTAAACCCAGAAATTCTACTAAATTCATGCCGTTTTGCAATGTCCTCGACAAAAAATGTTGCTGCTGCTACTGCGATGGTTTTTTAAAAAATCTGCTGCTATGGACATCTTTGATTCTACCTCAATTACTGTTGAACTATCAATGTTTGAGTGATAGGTACTGAAGTTCGTTTCGAACTCTATATGATTTTGTGGTATTTGCAATTTTACAGATACCCATTTTTGTCCGATGAAACAAATGATTGACCTTATTATAACAACTTTCGTAGAAGAATCCTTTCCATAATTTACTTTATTGCAAATCTTGACTGTTTAATTTATGTTCTTTACTTGATTTAAAGTTTGTCTCGATTATGAAACCTATGAATTTATCTCATACAGTGTAGTTCCATGAAGTTATTGAGAGGCTCATAGTCTCTATTGGTAAATACTGAATGTAATAATTGACTTAATGATCGTATACAAAGACTAGTTCACATCATTAATTAATAAAACCGATCGACATCTGAATTGTCTAGATTTAGATTCAATAGAATTATAACATACAATAAAATAAATTGAGAAAAAACCTATTTTAAATATTTCGATAACTGGAAATAGATGATCTCTATGGAATTAGACGATAAATATTTGAACAAAGAAGAATTACTCCTGTAAGTGAAAAGATAATCCACATATTTCGAAAATACTGAGAGAATCATTCTTTACAGTCTATCTGTTACGTAGATCTAGGATCAAATTATTTTTCTTTCTAATCATTATCCTAATAGAATACAAAATGTTAATTCTGTGAATTCGGATGTATGAAATAATTCAGATCGATATTAAAATCTTTATTAGAAGGAAGAACCTATTCCATATTGTATGATCTGCTGTCTTAGATAACAATGTGCAAAACTGAATGGAAAAATTATTATTAAATCTTCGGTTGTTTTTGGCACAATTTTTTTATTTATCAAGACAATAACAATGAAACGAAGCATGTATTCATTGAAATGGATGAATCATAGATTTGTCCACATAGAAATTAGTAATAACATTTTTATCGCTATGAGTCATACCGAATTCCATAGATGTCTAAACATTAGATATTGTTTTTATAAAAGAAAAAAAAAACACCACGATCTATCAGATATTCGTTTATTATTTCCATGTAAGTTATCAAAGTTTCCTATCTATACGTAAGCATAATAATTGATTAAAAATTAATGTCAAGAACGTTGACATTTTTAGATATGTTACATGTAGATTATAAATGAAGAATATTTAGGTTGTGACTTTTTTTTTGATCTGAAACGAGGAGTTTTTATTTAACGAAAAATATGTATTGAATCATCGATTGATTATAGTGAATTAATATACTATAAAAACGACATGAATGGTACAATCTTATAAAGACTAATAGAATGTAAAAGAAAATATACTTAGATTTTCGTTTATTCAATGGTCAATATATAATAATTTTTTAAAGTCTTCGCTTGAGAAATATCCTTTTTTTGTGTGTCTATTGATGGTTAAAGATTTTGAAATACTAATATATTAGAACATTTAAATCTTTGAATCGATGATATGATAGTTTTTATTTCAATCTTTTCCTTAAGGTCATTGAGTAGTTTTAATTAACTTAATCTTATCTTCATATAATCAAAAGGAAAGAAAAGAAAATGTACATTTATTCTTTCAGTATTATGTTCTTCTTATTAGAAAGTAACAGGTAAGATATACGATTAAATGAAAAGATCGAGGATGTGAAGTCAAAATATCCTTAATTTATTCTACGGTATCAGATCAAAAAAAATTGGTAATTTGAACAGAAAACCATTATTTTATTATTTTTTTCTGCCTTGACAGTTATCTTCTTCAAAGTTTTTTTTTCTATGTTATTTTTACGTGCTTCCGTAGACTAATGTAAATCAGTTGTACAGATTTAATTCAATTTTTTTTTCATTATATGTCCTTTAACAAGTATGTAACGTATGCCAATCGGTTATTGTTATTTTTTTTTTTGTATGTTAACATTTTATAGGTTTTTTTTTTTTTGTTTGAAAGATCTAATATAAGTTATATCACTATAAAATTCTCTCTTGATGAGTATATAGATGATTCAATTCTAGCAAATATACAGAAGATAATTTATTATATTTTAACAAATGCTTGTGATGAGTGGGTATGTTTTTTACGATTCGATAGACATATCGCATATGCATAAGTTGAGCAAATAAACAGTCCTGTATTCTTTTTCTTTCTCTGTATGTCTATGCATAAGTAGTGTCATAGCGAAAAGTTTAACGCTTTAAATGTGCTGTTTATTACACTTCTTCTTCTTTTCCTCTCTCTCTCTCTCTCTATTCGATGCCAACCTTACCATTGCATCGATATTTGTCCTTCAATAATACAGGTAAAACCTCATCACGTTCTTTTTTTTATGCCAATACAACGACATAGAATGTACATTGATCAATGTCACTGTATAATGAATAATTATAAATATGCAATCATGTAGTAGAATTCGACAATCAATTGAATGAAACATAGTTAGACTATGAAAAGTTGCAAAGGTCTATTCGAATAAATTTTTTTTTTT